TATTAGGTAGGAGAGGTTAAGGTTAAAAGAAGATAAAAAAATATCCCTCCTAAATTTTTTCAGGCCTCGTCCCTGAATGGGTGAATGAACGTTGCCAAACCGCGCGCTAAAAGCAAAAGGAGATTCAGATCCCGTCGTAGCCACACGCATGCAGAACGTGTGGCCATAATTGGCGTCGCGGGGTGGCGACACGTTAGGAGCTGATGATGGCGTGGGTGCCAAAACCATGGTCTGTCATCCAGTAACCGAGCCACAAAACAACAGGGAAAAACGGGGCTTAATCTAGACTAGACTAACTACTACTAGGGGCCTCGCCCTTGGGCTGGGCGTCACACCCCGGCGGTGGACGGGCGGCTTTTTGCACTGTGCGAGTGCGACGCACCATGCACGGCGCGGCATGCCGTCTCTGGCTGTGTGCGAGTCGATAGAGAGAGAAACCAGCCGAAGTGCCGAACCGAGGACGAGGAGCAATGCAAGAAAGGAAGAAACGGCGAGCGCGACGGGAGAGAGGAAAAGGAGGGAAGGTACACGGGGCGGACGGGGGGCATAGTGCGGTGTGCAGCTGCCGCTCTCGAGTTCGCCTACGTACGGGAAAAGGGGAAAAGGAGGGGGACGGAGGCGGAGGCTGCAGCAGGAGCAGGGCAGCGGCTGCTTCGTGAAGCGCAACATCATGATAGGCTGTCGCGGGCAGAGCGAGCACGGCACGCCTCCCTCGTCCCTCTCTCTCCCTCACCTCCAGGCTCCAGACGTCCGGCAGTCCCTCCCCCTCCTCGCCTCAAAAGAACCGATCGAGCCTCCTCGCCTCGGGCTACCTCCGTCTACGACTAGAGGAGACGGGTCCATACTGCTGGGCCGGGGGCCGTCATCATGAGCTTAGACCATGCAGTGCAGGCGAGTGAACACGGCAGCTACACGGCTACGTGCTCGCCTCCCCTCCTATGCTCGCATAGTCGCATGCCACACTGACGTCTTGTTTCATTGTTTGCATTGCCTGTTGGAAACCGTCCTCCCAGCCCTACCGTACTACGGGTATAGTCTTTGACTTTATTTCGCTCTACGCTACGGCTACCGGCTACTACGCTACGCACGCCCATCATCGGCTTCGTATGCACAGTAGCCAATGCTATACTGCGTCCTTCCTAATGCTACATCCCTAATCTTAAAACAGTGAAATGCCAGCTAACGATGCGTGTGCTCGGTCGGGTCCAGTTCCAGCCTAGATAGAGATGGAGGTAGACGGAGACGGGCCCCCGAGGCCTCAGCGATCCGCGACACAGGTGAGGCCGCGCTTGCAGAGCCTGCCGTTGCCCGTGGGCGCATGCAGATGCAGGTAGCCAATCCACCGGAGAAGCCGTCTGCAAATGGAAACACACTAGGCGCATAGCAAACCACTACGTACTACGCACGCACGGCTGACGCCCATGCCACGCTCATGCATGCCGTCAAAGTGGAACCCCCACGACACCCGACGAGCCGCCCACCGACCCGGGCCGACGCCGAGGCCAGACCAACGACGCAGGATGCTAGCCGCGCCTCTCGCTTTGCGACGTCTGCCTGCTGCCACGCGCGGCGCGGCACACGCGTCATCGGGGCCATGCCATGCTCCAAAGCGCCGGGCCGGCCAGTCTATGGTCGGCAGGACTTATCGCTGCTGCGGCTGATTCGTAGGACTGATTTGTTATGAGAAAAAAATACTATTTCATAACTAAAATAGTAGAGTGATTCTAGCTTATAAGCTAAACGAACAGAGCCCAAGTTGCTGGCTGCTGCTAGTGCTAGGCGCCTTTCGTTGGGGCCTTCTCGAGGGTCGCCGCGAGCGTGCGCAAAAGAGATCTCTCGGCTCGGCCTCGCCTTAAAGAAACGGTAGCGGCACAGGGCGTGGGCATCAGACACCAGGAGAGGAGGGAGGGCGCATGAAAGGCGAGGTAGCTTTATCAGAGGCATCAGTCATGCATGCCGATGCCGGTGTTTTTCTCTTGATCGGAGATGATTAAGGTCTTGACGTGCCTGGTTTCCTGCTTAACTGAAAAGGCGAGTTAGCTTTATTAGCCTGAGCTTATTTTCAGCGACACATCCACCTTTCCCGATCTTGTTCCATGCCCGTACCCTTTGCATCGCCTACTAGCTCTTTCTTCTTTAGAGGGAATATCCTTTGCATTGGTTGTGCAACTTTGCTTTGTCTCTAAATGGCCCTCGTTCGCTTGTCTTATAATCCGTACTTTTCAGCTTGTTTTTTCAGTCAGAACAGTATTTTTCTCTCACGACAAATCAACCGGAACAGTGTTTCGGCTTTTTTTTCAACAAAGCGACCGGAGCCAAATATCAACAGTCAATAAAGTACTATTTTGTATGGACCGAACATAAGCTTAGCTGCTGGCTTGGGATACCTCGACTTAACGTGGGTGGATGCTCAAATCTTTATCATTTTATTCTATCAAAAAATAAGAAAAATAATATTAAATGGAGGAATGACTAGAAATTATATTCCCATTTTTCATTGTCGGGTCGGGCAGCCTAGCAACGTTAGGGCCGGACCAGGCCGGTTCCAGGCCCATGGTTTCAAGACCCAGATGCGGCCCGGCCCTGGGTTTAAACTCATCTTGTCTACTCTCTCTGTCCCTAAATATCTGTCGTTTTCGTTTCCTGATAAACAACTTTGACTAAATATATATTAAAAAATATTAATATTTATGATTAGTAATTAGTATTATTGGAAATATCTTTGAATCTAGTTTTTTAATAAATTTATTTGAGGATACAAATGTTGCAATCATTTTCTACGAATCGAGTTAAACTTGTGACACGCACAACAATGAAGATAGTTATTTAGAAACGAAGTGATTAGCTCTACTGATCAAGTGGAGCAGACAGGCAAAGGTGACGACTGCACGGCTACTCCTCCGCGCTGCGCATTCCATTCCATGGCCTGTTGCGTGCAGGTGCAGCTGGAAAGACGGAGACCCATACTGTAGCATACAAGCAGAAGAAAAAAAACAGGGGGGTGGGGAGAAGGAAAAGGCACGAGTCACTGCCGGCCGGTCACCCTGCACCTGCAGCAGGAAGCTAGGTGTGGCGGTAGCGCAGGCCGCAGGGTGTGCTTTCTATTTTCCCTCTTCAAAGTGGGGGGCTACGGGCTCACAGTGTGCCGTGCCGCCCAGCGAACCAAACGAGAGCAAACAAACCACCAAAGGCAGCGGGGGCAAAGGCGAGCAGGAAAGCCTTCCACTTCCATCAATTCAAAGGGTTCGCTGCTTGCTTGCTACCTTGTTCTTGTTGGCTTCTTCTTTGCGCGCGGTGAGGCTCTTGCTCCTTTCTTTCTTCCCCGATCTTCCTCCACTTTCTGTTTCGTTGTTGAGCATCACTTCACTGGCCCGCTTCAGATAGATAGGGAGAGAGACTAGAGAGTGAGAGAGGGTGGCCAGCCGGCCGCCCGGCGTGGGTGTTCGAGAGGAGGGCCAGGGAGGCATGCTGGGGGCCGCCTCCTGAGTCCAGCACTCCAGCAGCACTGCCATTGGAGGGGGAGACGGGAGGAGGAGAGAAGGACACCTGCAAGCCCACTGAGGTCTGCTAGTGGTAGCTCATTGCCCTCCCTCCCCTCGCCAACCAAGCCACCGTCTTTTTGCCCAGTCCCAACACGAGCACGAGCGCGAGCAGAGGCAGCAGAGGGACAGCCGCATGTGCACGCGACCGGCGCATGCACACACTTGCGTGGCCGCATCTGGGGCGCACTCGCTCGTCTTCCCCGGGCGGAGTACGTTCTTGGGGTTGCGGGTGGGGCGGATCACGGCACCCACACCAGGGGTGAGGGGTGGCTCCATTGCTCGGGAAGGGGTGGACTCTTTTTCTCGGGGTGGGTCTCACACTGTTCCTCTTTCTCGGGTCATGCCTGATGCGGCCCTTCGCTTTGCCTTTGTTCTTGCGTGCCGTGTTGGCTAGCCTCTTTTGTTGCCTTCCCTCTGGTCTGGTTTGCTATAAACCCTTGATGCGATGCCGCCCACATGCCCTCATGGCTCTCACATTGTGTAGTGCCTGCCCTGCATTGCCCGTTGATCGTTCCTGAGTCTTTTATTATATTCCCTCGCCTCTGCTGCTGGCCTCTCCCCTCCCCACGTAGTATTAGTGTAGCGTGCGTCTCTCTTTCCCTCGTCATTCTGATCGATCTCGGCCCAAAACTGCGAGATCTTGGCGTGCTGGTGATAAGATTCTTTCTCCCGCACAAGCGCAGAACCAGAGTGAGCAAGTGGTTCTTGGTCTCTCCGTTGCCTCCCCCGTATTGCATTTAAAATAGATGCTCGGTGTCTCCTGCCTGCCTCAACTTGCGCAGAGCGCCACTAACGTTTGTTTTTGCCGTTGTTGCCGCAGAGATCGTTGCGAGAGAGAGACGGAGAGATCATACTCGGGGAATGGTGTGGCGAGGAATGTGGACTAGTTTTCTCAGATCAAGAAGGACAAGCAAGTAACAAGTGATCAGGGGGAGGTGGGGGTGTGTCAGCTTTGTGCTTTGTGGGTGTCCCTCCTCTTGTTCACTGCCCCCCTCTCCCTCCCACTCCGTATTGTTTACTTCTCCTGTGGTACTTGTGCTCCTCCCCTGCTTCTGGCCTCACTGCCTACGATAGCAGCAGCACCCGGCCGCATAAGTAGGTTGGGGGCTCAGGGCTGGAGTGTGCTTCAAGCAGGAGCTGCATCGGAACCGATCCCATTATTTGTTTGTTTTCGTTGTACGAGCGATCTCCTGGCCGGCTCCGGCACGTTGCAATATTCGGTCTTCTCGGCGCAGCACCAGCGACTTGTTCTTGTACTCTGCTTCTCTGCTGCCGCTCTGAGCCGTTTGCCGTTGCTGCTGTGGACAAGTATGGGATAGCGCTGCTGTGCTGCGCAGTTCTTGCTTGCTTCTTACAAGTGGTGGTGGTGGTGGTGATAGTGGTCTGGTCTCTGTGTGAGCTGAGCATTGGTCTAGAGGAGCGGGAAGATAGCTGTGCGGCTCTTCTTTCGTGTTCAAGATGAAGTTCATGAAGCTTGGATCGACTCCGGATACCTTTCAGGACGATGGGAATGAAGTCAGGTGATCCATCGCTTCTTTTGCTTTCTTTTACCTTGTTTCTTTAATGCTGCCTTTCAATTCTCATGTCGTTCTTAGAATCTCACTGGTTTTTTTTATGTCCATTATAAGCGATCTGAGTTATTGTGTTTTTGGTAGTTGGCACTGTGGGTTTATGCTTAAGTTTATTCTCTCGAAGTATTAAGTATTATTCGCCATGAAATCCAATACAGTTCTAATATTGTCATTGAGGTTTGCAATAAACCCTCGATGTCTGTTATATTTCTTTAGTTTATAGGCCCCCTGAGTGTTCATGCTATCCAGGACTTGCATGATACCAAAGAGGACCATACTTTCGGGAAAAAAAACTAGTCATAACTACAGAAAGGAACAAATAGAAGAGGACCTCAAAGCGCGGAACTGATTTTAGGATGCTTCATTTAGAGTTCCGGGTCAACTTCCACCATATATTGGCTTATTCTTGTAGAAAAGGTTCTTTTGCGTTAGCATTCTTTCTTTATTTATTGTTTTGACAAATGCTTGGTTGGATACTGCTTTTCAGTTCAGAAGCAGTATAGAATAGCATCCTCTGTTTAGAAAGCCAGATACTTTGCATCATATATACTAACAAATTACTATTACAAGAATGCAACTCGTTTTTTCCCCTGGTATTGTCTATAGAATATTAATGATTGATTTTTCATATAGCAATCAGTTGTACTACTGTATATACTGTATTTTATTTTATCAATTTAACCATGTCTCTCGTGGTGTACAATGTAAGCAATCCTAATGCTCATAGGTTCTCAAGAAAATCAGATTTGAATACTAATCCAAAGTCTGTCTTTCAATTTGTCAGCATTAAGTGTTCTTTTTATATTCTTGTTATTTTCTGCTCCTCTACTAATGAGAACTGTTTATCCTTGCAGTATTGCAGCATCTGAATTGGTGAGCGACGTCACTGTTCGTATAGGGACTACAAAGTTTTACCTTCACAAGGTAAGTGACATGTTATTTTCATTCATATGACAGTGCTGCTTTGTGAGACTATAGTACAAAGTACATGTGCTGTTGGAGATCATGTTTTTTTCATGTGGTTTGGTTTTATATTTTCTTACCAGAGTTATCTCTGTGCTGAAGATTCTTGTTGGCCCTTGATTAACTTATTTTTGTTATATATATGTCATTTGATTGTTATTTTCTCGGGTTTTACATCCAAGCGAATTAATTGATTTCTTGGTCTCGTTATGCATTGCGCAATCACTTGAGTGTGCATATCTATCACTGTTATTCTGATCTGCATTTTCGAATCATGCAGTTTCCGCTCCTATCCAAGTGTGCTCGCTTTCAGAAGTTGATTCCAACTACTGGTGATGAAAATATTGAGATCCACATCCATGATATTCCTGGTGGTGCAAAGGCTTTTGAGATCTGTGCCAAGTTTTGCTATGGCATGATTGCCACACTCAATGCCTACAATGTGATTGCAGCCCGCTGTGCTGCAGAGTACTTGGAGATGAATGAGACTGTTGACAAGGGCAATCTGATCTACAAGATTGATATCTTCCTCAGCTCAAGCATATTCCGGAGCTGGAAAGACTCTATTATTGTTCTTGGTACAACAAAGGCTCATTTACCTTGGGCAGAGGAACTTAAGCTGGTTAGCCACTGCATTGACTCTGTTGCTTCAAAAGCCTCTATTGATGTTTCAAAAGTTGAATGGTCTTACACATACAATCGTAAGAAGCTCCCAACTGAGAATGGCCATGATTCGCCATGGAATGGAGTCAAGCAGCAGCAGTTTGTTCCGAAGGATTGGTGGGTCGAAGATCTGACAGATCTTGACATTGATGCCTACAAGCAAGTCATAACAGCAATCAAAACCAAGGGTATGGTCCCCAAGGATGTGATCGGTGAGGCAATTAAAGTCTACACTTACAAGAAGCTTCCATCACTAAGCAAGGTCTCAATGATCCATGGCGATGCAAAAGTTCGGGCTATGCTAGTTACCATCACATGCCTGTTGCCATCTGAGAAAGGTTCAGTTTCATGCAGCTTCCTCTTAAAGCTACTGAAGGCAACAAATTTGCTGAAGTGTGGAGAGATGTGCAGGAAAGAGCTTATGAAGCGCATTGCACGGCAATTGGAAGAAGCATCAGTGTCAGATCTTCTGATCCCTACAGTGGATGGGGATACCACTGTTTACGACATTGACCTGATTCTTAGCATTGTTGAAGAATTTGTCAGACAAGATAGTAAGAATGCCCAGAGACACAATGGTGGTGAAGTGAATGACCATGTATCAGCTCCTAGTGCATCAATGATTACAGTGGCCAAAATTGTTGATGGATATCTCGCAGAGGTTGCAAAGGACCCAAATATACCGGTCTACAAGTTCTTCAGTCTAGCTGAGACAGTTTCGGCCAATTCAAGGCCGGTGCATGATGGGCTCTCTATCGCGCCATTGATATGTACCTGAAGGTATTGCTACCACTTGCAAGTTGCAATCCATTGCGGAATTTCTTCGTCGTAGTTCAAGAAATTATTTCATATACATTGCTGTTACTAGTATTTCATGGGGATTGAGATATATACATTCCATTTCTCTTGATTATAGAAGACTCTGTGAGTTGACATAGTTCTCTTAAATTTTATGCAGGAGCACCCAGGCTTGGGCAAGAGCGATAAGAAGAGGCTCTGTGCTCTCATGGACTGCAAGAAGTTGTCTCCCGATGCATGCGCTCATGCCGTGCAGAACGAGCGCCTGCCTCTGAGGATTGTGGTGCAGGTGCTGTACCACGAGCAGACAAGGGCTTCTGCAGCAGCCACCATCCGAGCTGACAGCATCGGCATCGGCTCCTACGAGAGCTCAAGGTCAGGGGCCACAACAAACACAGAAGACGAGTGGGACGGCGTCATGGCCGTGGAAGACCTCAGTCTGTCCAAGACCACGAAGCTAGACAAATGTGACACAGCCAGCACCGTGGTGGAGAAGAACCACGGTGGCAACAAGGGTGCCAACGGCAGGGTGAAAGGTGGCGCGACGTCAAAGAAGGCGCTCGGGAAGATGATGTCAAGCAAAGGGCAGGCTGGGGAGCGCAGCAGCTCGGATTCATCCGACAGCGCCATCTTGCCGAGCCAGGAGCATCCCAAGAGGACCCCCGCAAGGAGTACCACCAAGTCAGCTGCCGCTTAGCTGCAGCCCGCCTTTGCGGAGTGAAATGGTCAAGGAGCACTAGGTTTTAGCAGTCGTCTGTTCTTTGTTATGAATGTTGCATAGAAGCAAGGGCCATGTTTTTACACGTCTGTAGGGATGGTATAATGCCAGGTACGTACGTTGTTAGGTGATGTTGTTAGCATGTAGGCTCGCCATGAAACCTATGAGACCTTTGGGCTCTGCTGTGAGGGTTTATGTCTGAACTCGGAGTAGTGTTATAAGATGCCTACTTTGTTAGCCCTTGTTTAGTTGGGTGAAGTTTGTAAATTTGGCTACCGTAGCATTTTCGTTTTTATTTGACAATTAGTGTTCAATGATGGACTAATTAGGCTCAAAACGTTCGTTTCGCAATTTCCAATCAAACTGTGCAATTAGTTTTTTTTTCATCTATATTTAATGCTTCATACACGTATCGCAAGATTCGATGTGATGGATACCGTAGCACTTTTTGGAAAAAAAGTTTGGAACTAAACATGGGAGTTGAAGCATAACTGTTCTGCAGACTGCAGCTGTGAATTCTTGGTGTTTTGTTGTGAGATCTGTTAGATCGTTTGAACACATCATCTGATCACAATGACTTGTAGGCTTGTAGCTGAACATGTTCATCCTGAGCAAGGGTAACCTTTGCTGACATGGAAAGCCATCAGATCGACGACTGAACTAACTATGTGTCCCAAATCACTGGCCCCACCCATATTCGGTTTATTCGGCTTCTTTTTTCAACTAGAACAGTGTCTTTTTTTTACAACAATTCAACCAGAAAAGTATTTTCCAGCCAATTTCAGTCATCTGCCAACCGAACGGGGATGGTATCTTATCCAGGCACCAACGCAAGTACCCTGTACCCGGGTCATCTCACTAGCATAGTAGCATTGCCGCATATTATAGCTGAATAGATGCAAAATGAACTACCCAGGTCATCTCACTAGCATAGTAGCATTGCCGCACATTATAGCTGAATAGATGCAAAATGAACGAGGTGGTGCATCTGCTTGCCATATGATCATCAAAAGGGTTAAGCCTGTGCCGGAAGCTTGTAGCCGGAAATGGCACTTGGGCATCTGCTAATTTGAACGGTTCATATCAGCCCAGCCCACTCGGGTAACCTGGCTCAAATCCATGCTGGGTGATGGCAAATTGGACATGCCAGCACCAAAGCTCAGACCATCAGAACTTCAGAAGATCTGAATGCTTGGACGGAAACACAGCCCTTCGCTACAGCTACAGAATATCTGCCACTCCGAGACAGAGCTAACCTGTTCAATCACCGGTCGCCAACCAGAACCTTGTTCTCGTGTCTGACTCTGATCCAAACATGTCACGTACCAGGAAAAGTGCGAGAAGCAACGGCCGCTTGTGTTGCAGGGACGGCGACTCGCTCGCGCATGATGCGGCGTACGTGGCTGAGACACGCGGCATTTGCCGGGACGGACGGGCTCAGGGTCAAAAACAGGCCGCCCTTCTCGTCGCCGGCTTTGACCAGGCGTAGTACAGGTACAGCCTAGCGAGCTACTGTTACCCCTGCCTAGCGAGCGAAGTGGCCAACCAAACCAAGGGCTTGTTTAGATGTAAAATTTTTTGCAAAATGAGTACTGTAGCGTTTTCGTTGTTATTTGGCAAATAGTGTCTAATCATAATCTAATTAGGCTTAAAAGATTCGTCTCGTAGATTTCGTCTAAACTGTGTAATTAGTTTTATTTTTTATTTATATTTAATGCTTCATACATACGTCTAAAGATTCAATGTGATGGGAAATATGAAAAATTTTGCAAAATTTTTTGCAAACTAAACTGCACCCAAAGTGTCCAAGTGGGCACGGCGGACCTGCCTCTTGTCGTCGGAGAACGGCGTGGCTCCATGCTCCGGGGACAGACAGGAGGAAAGGTCGTGAGGATTGTCTCATCGCTGTCGAGACACTGGGGCACCTTGCCGTCCTCCCCTACCTGTCGTGTCAACGCGACGTGTCTCCGCGTCCAGTGCCATGTTCTTTTGGTGGATAAGCTAGATTAAAAATGCTGTTGATTTGCTGTGAGAGTGAAAAAGTACTGCTTATAAGTCAAGTGAACATGGCATGGTTCATCGTGATGCGGGGCTGGTGTTAAAAAAAAGAGACAAAATAGACATTTTGATCGCTGAACTATTACTCAAGGCTTAATTTCATCCCTGAACTTTCAAAACGACCGTTTTAGTCCTTAAATTATACTTTTAGGCTCAATTTCACCCTATAACTATGAAAATGATCGTTTCAGTCCTCAAACTTTGCATTTTAAGCTTAGTTTTACCCATAAACTATCAAAATACATTTTGGTCTTTAAACATTTATTTTCAACTCAACTTTATCTATCAAAAAAGAAAGCTTTATATTTTGGACATAATTTTATCCATGAATTATCAAAATGCATTTTGGCTCAACTTTGTTGTTTGTCGAGCACCACCCGCGATTTGAGATGGACAGTCATTGTTAGGTACTATTGTCCCTAGCGTCATCCTATGTACCAAATCAGATAGCACACTTTTAATATTTATATTTATATTCTAAGATAAATATAAATATAGATCTAAATATTCTTAAATATGAATTATTTTTAGCTTATGGATAAAAATATTATTTTACACACAAATGGTTATTAGTTGAGCTTAACTCTAGTAGGATGATAAACAAAGTTGAGTTGAAAATAAAATTTTGTAGACTGAAATTCATTTTAATAGTTTATGGATGACATTGAGCCTAAAATGCAAAGTTTGAGGACTAAAACGATTATCTTCATAGTTCTGGGATGAAATTGAGCCTAAAAGTAAAGTTTGAGGACTAATGTGACCGTTTTGAGAGTTCAGGAATGAAACTGAGGCTCGAGTAATAATTCAGATACTAAAACGGCTATTATGCATTAAAAAACAGTTAGCTTCACATAGTCACATCGCATCACATGGTGGTGAGGTACGGCTTGGAGCTACAGCAAGGGACCTGCATGGCGCGTGCTGATCCACGTCCAAACGACCAAACTAACTTGCCGAATATAGCCGCGTGACGGACTCGATGAACAACGGACAGTGCCGGCGCCGGCGACGGCAGTCGACAGGGCTGATGAGATCTCTGTACAAGGAGTTTGCTTCGGATGCTGGCTGAGCTGGCATGCTATCACGGGACAGTAACCTCAACCACTCTCCGTTTCATAAAAGATAAAAGGTTGTGTGGATGCACTTGTATTTACGTCAATTCAAATGTGTGGAGTGGATTGCAGTAAAAATTAATCTATTTTCCACCCTAATATATATGAATTAGGATCGTAAGTTATTCAACCTACACCGTAACATGCTACCGTTTCTGCCCAGAGATGGAAAAGAAAATGGCACTGTACATTTGTACCCTTCTTTACAAATGGTATTAGTTGGCCTATAAAACCTTTGGCACTATGAAGTTTGATGTCGCATTTTTTATATAAATCAGGTGGTGATGCCCAGTTATAGTATATTAAATAAACTGAGGAGTCAACTATCAATATTACTATCTACATAAAAGAAAATGAAATTCTCGGTTTACGATGAGTCAATCATGATGGTACATAATCCTAATTTATTGTTGTCTCAAAGACAATGCTAATAGCTGAAAAGTGAAAAAACCAACTTAACAAATGATAGCAATCAAGTGGAGGCCGCCAATGAGACCAGTCCGGGAGTTTTATCAGAGTTCCGTTTGCATTTAATAAGTAACCACGTAAGCGCTTTTGATGATGTGGCAATATTTTTAAGAAAAAGATAGAAGAAATGAGTTTTATGGGGGATGAAACTCTCACCAACTCTCTATAAGTCATGAAATTAAATGTCTATGGACTACAGAATTAAACTTTTCATTGAGAGTGGGTGTTTCATCCATATTTCATTTTATTCTATATGATATATGATAGTCTTGGAAACAAAGTCATGAAGCTCTCCAATGAGACTAGCCTAAGGGAATTGGTGAACAAACCCCACAAACCAGCTGAAAGGTCCTAATGGCTAGAGGGGGGTGAATAGCCTATTAAAAATTTCTACAACAATACTTAACAAACCGGTTAGACAATTATGAGGCGAAGCAAGTGTTGCGCTAGCCTACTAAAATTGTAAGCCACCTACTACAATTCTAGTTTATACAGTTTCTATCCACACAATAGCTATGTCACTACACTAAGTTAGTGTGCTCTCAAAGGTTAATTAAAGAGCCACACTAACCAAACTAACAAGCTCTCACAACTAGCTAAACTAAAGAGCTTGACAACTAGTTTGCGGTAATGTAAAGAGAGTGAGTAATTTGTTTATACCACCGTGTCGAGGAAGGAGCCAATCAATCACAAGAATGAACACCAATGAAGACCAATCACATTGGAATCAAATGATGAACACAATGATTTTTTATCGAGGTTCACTTGCTTGCAGGCAAGCTAGTCCTCGTTGTGGCGATTTACTCACTTGGAGGTTCACGCGCTAATTGACATCACATGCCAAACCCTCAATAGGGTGCCGCACAACCAACACAAGATGAGGATCACACAAGCCACGAGCAATTCACTAAAGTACCTTTTGGCTCTCCGTCGGGGAAAGGTCAAGAACCCCTCACAATCACCACGATCAGAGCCGGAGACAATCACCAACCTCCGCTCGATGATCCTCGCTGCTCCAAGCCGTCTAGGTGGCGGCAACCACCAAGAGTAACAAGCGAATCCCACAGCGAAACACGAACACCAAGTGTCTCTAGATGCAAACACTCAAGCAATGCACTTGGATTCTCTCCCAATCTCACAAAGATGATGAATCAATGATGGAGATGAGTGGGAGGGCTTTGGCTAAGCTCACAAGGTTGTTATGTCAATACAAATGGCCAAGAGAGTGAGCTTGAGCCGGCCATGGGGCTTAAATAGAAGCCCCCACGATAGGGTCGTTGTACCCCTTCTCTGGGCACAACATGGGGTGACCAGATGTTCCGATCATATCGACCGGACTCA